GCAAAGAATTTAGAACTTGTCTTCAAATGTGTGCCGAATAGTTGATTTGTTCACTTACAAACTTACATAGTGTGTTATTACATACATTTACATTTAAAATATTTTATTCAATTATTTAGCCATATTTTAATTTGATTTGTCCGTATATTTTTTACTAACATAAGTTGTAACTTTTATTTTATTTTATTGGTTTCTATGGTTACGTATCGCAAATTGAACTTGAAAAATTTTTAATTTAGGAAACGTATAATTTTTACATAAAAATGGGAATAATTAGTTAACTTCTATAGTTAGAATATAAAGTTCGTGCGATTTAGTGGTTTGAACATATCCGACGCATTATTTATGCTGAGATAAGTTTGAAAAATCAGTAACAAAAATTTTTTTCCTCTTTGTGACTCGATCCGGGGACGTACTGTATACTTTCACTTTACTAATTTCAAATTGTTTTAGGAAACTTCGTTGTATACTTGGAAGGTGATTGGCATATATGATACTTCATTGGACACTTTATTAATTAGGGTTTGTTATATGATGTAAACCGTTTAAATGCATTAATTATTTGAGAAGTTATGACAAAGGGAGTTTTATTAATAATTTTAAACCAGTTAGATGTGATATTGATAACTTAGCAGCAGAAATTCTAAAAATACGATCTGATCGTATTATATTGTGCAAGAATCTATATTTCCTAATTTTTTTTAAGATATTTATCATTAAAATATTGAGATTTATTGAAGAGTTATCGAAAAGGAAACTTACACTTCAACTTTATTAACTTGAAATTGTTTTAAGCAACTTCGTTACTGATATTATGGGAAATTAATTGGCATATATTATAATAAAAGTATATACCCTCGTTATTGTATATATTATTAATTAGGCTTTGTTTTATGATATAAATCCTTTAAACGCATAAATTATTTAAGAAGTTATGGCAAAGAGAGTGTTATTAATAATTTTAAACCACTTCGAACTGCTATTGAGATTCAGGAACAAAAATCATAAATATAGAATCTGATCATATCATATTGTGCAAGATCATATCATATTTATACTGCCTAGCTTTTCATTAAGGATATACAACACTAAAATGTTGAAACTTATTCAAGTGTTATCAAAAAGAAAAGTTAACTTAACTAATTTGAAATTGTTTGAGGCAATTTCGTTATAAATCCTTAAAAGAACCTAACAAGACACTTATCATACCTCCTTCGGTTCTTTATTAATTAGGGTTTGTTTTATAATATGATCTGTTGAAACACATCGACTATTTATGAAATTATGACAAAGAGAGTATTATTAATCCTAGAAATACGATCTGATCATATCATATTGTGTTGGAATTCGTATTCGCTAATCTTTCTCTCATTAATATACAGTATGTCCCCGGATCGAGTTACAAAGAGGAAAAAAATTTTTATTACTGAATTTTCAAACTTATCTCAGCATAAATAATACGTCGGATATGTTCAAACCACTAATTCGCACGAATTTTATACTCTAATAGGAAGTTAACTAATTATTCCCATTTTTATGTAAAAATTGGACCTTTTTTCTAAACTAAAAAATTCTCAAAGTTCAATTTATGATATGTAACCATAGAAGAGTGATGTAAATCCATATTCTACACTCTCTACACGAAGTCAACATTTCAAAAAAGTAAATGCGTGGTGTGCTATAACATATTACGGGGTAATTGATTGGGCCATATTTCTTCGACGAAAATGTAAATCAACAGAAATATTTGGATATGTTACAAAATTATTTTAATGAACAACTTGATGAATTACCCTTAAATTTTATACGGTCAATGTATTTTCAACGAAACGGTTGCCTAGCTCACCATCACACATTGTGACCGAATGGTCCTATTTTATGACCAGCACATAGTCCTGATCTTACAATTATGGATTTTTATTTTTGGGGACGATTGAAACAAATTGTTTACAGTGAACCATTACAAGGCAATGCAGAACTTTTAAAACTAAGAATAATTAATGCGATAGAATCTCTACCACTGGCGGAAATTCGTAATTCTTTCAAAGAATTTAGAACTTGTCTTCAAATGTGTGCCGAATAGTTGATTTGTTCACTTACAAACTTACATAGTGTGTTATTACATACATTTACATTTAATAGTTATTTATATTACAAGTGGGCTAGAAACATAATTACTGTACGAGTGTGGAAAATTGCACGACGAGGTCGTAGACCGACTCGTGTAATCACACGAGTACTGTAATTATGCTCTAGCCCACGTGTGATATACAGCATTTTATCTATGACTGCTAAAAATTACTAAAAAATCAATTTTTTTAAAAAAGTTTATTTGACATTTATAAAAATATTTTGAAATGATTGTTGACAATTTTGAATTGTCAGTTTCAACAACATGTTTACTCATCTGGAATAAGTGTTTCGAAATGTAAAAACATAACAATTAATGTTTATAATAAATAGTATTGTTTCTCTGTAAGTAGATAGCACTTTTTCTTTTGTATTGTTGCTCGTTTCAATAAATTAAGTCTGTTCTGATTACGCTAAAAATGCGTTACGTAATGAAACCAGTGCGGTAATGAACTTCATTACGTAACTCAAATCATCTCAAATGAGTGCGGTAATGATGACTTATCCAAGCAATCGTAGATAAAATATTTTATTCAATTATTTAGCCATATTTTAATTTGATTTGTCCGTATATTTTTCACTAACATAAGTTGTAAGTTTTATGGTTTCTATGGTTACATATCATAAATTGAACTTGAAAATTTTTCAATTTAGAAAAAAGTTCAATTTTTACATAAAAATGGGAATAATTGGTTAACTTCTATAGTTAAAGTATAAAATTCGTGTGATTTAGTGGTTTGAACATATTCGACGCATTATTTATGCTGAAATAAGTTTGAAAAATCAGTAATACAAATTTTTTTCCTCTTTGTAACTCGATCCGGGGACATACTGTAGTTTTGACTTATTCAGAAGATATCGTGAAGAAAATTTACACTTTCATTTTACTCTTTTGAAATTGCTTTGGAGATCTTTGTTACATCGATTAATATTAATTAAAATTAGTTTTGCGATATAAACCCTTGGAATGCATCAATTATTTGGTAACTTTTGTCAAAAAGACTGTTGTTTTTAATTTTTAACCATTTCAAGTTGAGATTGATAACCTAAATATGGAAGTCTGTTATGCTGTACCTCATTAAAACGCTTTGACTTATTTAGAAGATGTTGAAAATAAAAATACACTTTAATTTTAAACTTTTGAAATTGATTTGGATGATTTCATTTCCGTCACCTCGATGGGTACTTACAATTAGTTTTGCGATATAAAATCTTGGAACGCATTAATTGTTTAATAACTTTTGGCAAAGAGAGTGAGTTGAACTATATACGGAAATACTAGAAATACGATTTAATTATATCAAATTGTATTGGAATCCGTATTAAAGATATAGACTATTAATATACTTAATTTTATCGCATTCTACTTCGTTGGGTATTTTATTAATTTGATAAAAAATAATGTGGGTATCGAATTAAAGTTAAGATTCTGTTTAAACCAATAGGGGAAAATGTATTAATAATTATCAACTATATATATTTATAAATCAACAATATGTTTTAATTACCTGTAACTATAAGAACCATCAGGATTAATCTCATTCGTCTCCGAAACGATTGGAATAACATTGCGGGGGATTGGTTGCTGATACTGTGGTTGATAATAATTTTGTGGAGCACCCAACGTTGAAACCGCCAAAGAAACTAACACAATCTTAAATAAAATCCGAATTAAGTTTATCAAAATTATTAATCATTATTTAAAAAGAATCTCGAATATATATTATAGTCCTATTTAACTTACCAGCCTCATTTTTCGTTTTGAGATACTTAGTAACGGGATAAGAAAATTTGTGGTTTATGTGGTTGGGTCGGGCTGTTTGCATTTATACGGGGACCCCACCACACGCATCCGGGACCGATGTTTCATCCTTGCAATCGGACACACCCACCCCCAAACATTGTCTTCATGCCACACACAGATTACGTTAGCACCATAACATCCATACCATTTACACACATTATTGTTTCAAATTCAAATTTTGATTTTACGCGGAGAGAGGTCACGGTTTTTAGGTTTACATGTCTCAATCACGTAAACTACGTGATCTCTAAATTTCTCTATTTTTAAGGTAATTTCAAAATATCACATCTGTCGAAAGACAATAATAAGCATAGTATTCTTTTTTTGTTAATACACCTAAAAGGAAAAGGTGCTAATAATTTTAAAATATTACTAAATAAACAAATCATTAAAAAATTTATTATAAATTTTTTTGTTGACAAGTTTTCATCACATCGTTAAAAAATCTAACGCTAACGTTTCGGAAGTTATGAAACCTTCCTAAGACATAACTTATCCGCGCACAATGCTTCTTGCATCTATCCATCTCCTCCTCTAGGAAATATTCTAGATACGACGAAAGATTCTTTACGATAAGTTGGTTCCTTTGTGCGAAATGGCCTGAAATAGTAACGTAACCTACTATTTCAGGTCATTAATTTCGTTATAACTATATCTTCTTTTTAGGTCAAGGTTTAAAATTAGTAAAGGAAAAAAAATTAAAAAATATATTGTTTATAAGTAGGTGGGTTGGAAACTAATTTTGACGATGACAAAGAAAGGTACATAATTCTTCCTCTGCGAAACGATTAGAATACATTTACGATTTCGCAATTTTCGTTTCGTTTTTGGTATCGCTACGATCGGCACGTCAGAAATGTCCTATTCAAATGTCCGGGTTTTAGATAATTTATAATCTCCAATTACGCCTTAAATATACAGTATTAAGGCAAGAGGACGGTTCAGAATTTATTATTAGATTTTAAAGAATAATACCATTATGTTATTATTTATTTTATAATAAATTATTGTTGCAAAATAATTATTAAAATTATTACTTTATAATTACTGAAATTTACGTTATCTTACACAGTACCGAAATTATAAAAAATATTACAAAAATGCAACGACCAAAGACTTTGCGAATTAAACATTAATCTGAGGAACTCAAAAAAGATTGAATAAAGAAGAGGAAGTAACTAAAAAATTAGCATCAATCGGCACAAGAGGAAGTTAATACGAGTAAAGCTACGTAAAAAATTAAAACAGATATTAGGTGTTTGATTGTTCCTGATATTGATACAAATAAATAAAAATAAATGAGCAGGAAAAATGATTAAGAAATTTACTATATACTACGGCTTAGCAGTCAGTAGAAACTGCGATTCTGTTTGTATCTATTAATATCATTTAGATATAATGAGCATAACATTGATTGTACAACTTACACTTGGTTCTTTCCTACAATAATTGTGAGAGCTCATAACTCGCCTTATTGATGATACTTTCGGTTGAATATAAAACATACCCTCACCGTTGAGTACCACATCTAAATACTAAGGGAGCTGATAGTACGAACTAGTAGTAGATTATAGTTCTTCTAACCATAATATCTTACTATCGTGTAAGTCACTAATGTCACATATGTACGACTTAAGAAGCAAGGTTCTTGGATTAGTCAATGACATTGATCATCATTCATCATTTACATGAGGTTTTTCAGGTTACGATGGCAGGTTATCTGTGATACAGATTGTATTCTTCTGAAAATTCTCATTGGATTCTGAAAATTCAAAGGAAATGGAGTGTGAATTAGCGGGTGTTTACATACCGAATCTTGAGCTGACTATAATTGGTGTATACCGTCCCCCGTCCGGTGACTTGGATGGCTTTGAGGAGGTGCTTTCCAGGGGGATGACGTCACTAATTAGAAAGCGGATTGATATCTTTCTGGTTGGTGATTTTAATGTTCACTTTGGAACAAATGATAAAAAAACCTTGAGGATGCTCGACTTTCTAAAGAGCTTTAATTTGAAATCAAGTTTTGTNTACAACACGACAATCGAAAATACTCGAATCTCGACGTATTGCCTTAAAAAACACCACTCGACCTTCGGTCTCGTGGTGTTTCAGGCAATACGTCTCGTATTATCGAGTATTTTCGATCGTCTTGTTGTATAATATATGAAAATTCTGATTGGATTCTGAAAATTCAAAGGAAATGGAGTGTGAATTAGCGGGTGTTTACATACCGAATCTTGAGCTGACTATAATTGGTGTATACTGTCCCCCGTCCGGTGACTTGGATGGCTTTGAGGAGGTGCTTTCCAGGAGGATGACGTCACTAATTACAAAGCGGACTGATATCTTTCTGGTTGGTGATTTTAATGTTCACTTTGGAACAAATGATAAAAAAACCTTGAGGATGCTCGACTTTCTAAAGAGCTTTAATTTGAAATCAAGTTTTGTGGAACCAACTAGGTTGCAAAACTCTCTAGATAATTTTTTCGTGAATTTTACTGATCCAGTCACTTGTAATGTAATAGATACTTTATTCTCAGATCATATGGCTTTAATCATTGAGTTTCAGACTCCCAAAATTAATAAAAGTAATATTTATAGAACGTTCAGTCCTATAACAGTAAGGGGCTTGGAAACCTTTTTTGATAATGTTTGTGGGTATGACCTTAGTTTTTGTAAAGATATGGAGCTCCACCCCAATTATAAGACTAATATTTTAATTGACTTTTTGAGAAACGCGGCTATGATCGCTTTCCCTACTATAACTGTCAAAGATACTCGTAATCGTGATTCACTGAATATAGCTTGGTATAACTCACAACTTAGGCAACATAAAGAAAAACTTACTTTTCTTTGTGAATTATACAGAATCAATAAAAATCCGTACGTACTTATTGAACGAAATAAATGTCGTAAAGCATACAGGTTAGCAGTGAATCACGCTAAACGAAATGCTACTGATAATTACATCATCAATCATAAAAATCAACCGGCAGCTATATGGAAAATAATTAATACCTATAAGTCTTCTGGGAATGCTGATGGAAAGGATAGTAATTTAGACGCGAATGAACTTAATAATTTCTTTTTAAATGTATCGGATAGATTGGCTAATAATTTGGAAGGGGACGAAGATCCGCTGTCGTTTCTCTTAGAACATGTCAATTACACAAATAGGGAATATTTTACCTTTAAAGCTTTCTCACAGGTGGAGGTACGGGATTCCTTTGACGCCCTTAAGCCTGGCAAATCGGTTGATGCGTTTGGTTTAAATGCGGTCATGATAAAAAAGGTCAAAAACTGTCTGATCCCAGGACTTACTGCTCTTTTCAATCAGTGTTTAAACACAGGATGTTTTCCTGATAAATTTAAGTTGGCAAGTGTTTTGCCGCTATTCAAAAAAGGTGATATTGATGATCCTTCGAACTTTAGACCAATTAGTATACTGCCAGTGTTGTCAAAAATTTTTGAAATGCTATTGAAAAATCAATTAATCAATTATTTTGAAACTAATAATATTTTTAACAAACAACAATTTGGCTTTAGAAAAGGACTCTCTACGGCACTGGCTACACAAAATTTTATCGAGTATGTGGTCGATGGTTTTGAGGCGTCGCAATACACTGAAGATAGTTTTTTGGATCTTACCAAAGCTTTTGATTGCGTGTCGCATTCTATTTTAATACGTAAATTGTACGCTTACAATGTCGCCCAGGACGCTTGCAAGCTTTTGTCATCTTATCTTACAAATAGAAGTCAATTTGTTAAATTTAACTCAGTGATGTCTAACCCTGGGAATATTACAAGTGGTGTTCCTCAGGGGTCAATTTTGGGTTCTATTTTATTCTTAATATATGTAAATGATTTACCTTCTTTCCTGAGTAGTGGAAGCTCACGTTCAATCTTGTATGCAGATGACACAAGTTTGCTGACAAAACATGATTCTGACGTTGATGCCAGGGGATTGCAAGATTTAATGTTAAAATCGGCAAGGCATTGGTTTGCAAGTAATCGTCTAACACTGAATGCTGATAAAACAGAAGTAACGACCTTTACACTAAAGCAAACTACTATTAAATCCTATGTAGCGGATAGAGGAGTCAGGTTTTTGGGTGTTCATCTGGATTCCGGGCTTACCTGGAATGTTCATGGTGATAAATTAGCCTCACGCTTAAGCTCCACTGCCTTTCTGTTGGGTCGTCTGTCATCACAACGCAATACCCGAGTAGAGGAAAACTCACTCTACTCGGGTATTGCGTTCCGCGTATTTTGCGCTTTTTCAGAGCCATCTAAGTTATGGGTTACTGGCCTGGGGACATGGCCCGATCAATAAAAGAATATTTGGTATACAAAGAAGAGCTATTAGAAATGTTGCTAACTTGAACTATACTGATGACTGTAGGCCTTCTTTTATCAAATTAAAAATATTAACACTTCCTTCATTATATATTTTGGAATGTTTAAAGCTCACTTTTTTACATCATAGTCAGTACGGGAAAAATAATAATGTTCACAATTATGGCACTAGGGGGAGGAATGACATTCGACCGGAGGCACTGCGACTGGAGAGGTCGAGAAACGCATATAATTACTATGGAGTGAAGTTCTTCAATGTCTTGCATTGTGGTTATAGAAGCTTACCTTATAAAGCTTTTGTAACCAAAATTAAAAATGTTTTAGTAGGGAAGGCGTATTACTCCATAGATGATTTCTTAAACGATATACAGTCCTTCGATTGATATTTTTATAATGTATTACGACTGTGCCTTTGTTGCTACTGACCGGACACCGATTTATTACACCGATTATTTTATCAAGGGTTTAATGTAATGTATTTGGTAATTTATTCTTTCCTATATATGTTTTTTTGTTGTATTTCTATTTCGATTGTGACGAATGTATGCCCTCTGGGTTATTAACATAATAAATTATTATTATTATTATTAATGATTTGAAACCAGTATGTGGAAAATATACATTTTGTAGCCAATTTT